TATCATTTGCCTAGTATAGTCCACTGAAGATCGTACTCCCACTTAGTTTATGTTACACTATCAGGATATTAGTTACAAGCTCTTAGAAGGCCTTTAATGGCCACAGAAACCCAACATATATTTATCAAAAATTTGACAAATTTTAATTTCAAGAATATCATGCTTCAGTCATATTTGCGTTAGTGTTTTTGTTTTAAAAAAAATATTGGGTGTTAAATTTAAAATGATATCCTTTCAAACCACAGTATTTGTAAATTATATTGTTGTAGATGAAAAAGTATAGGGCTTTTAATCCTACATTAGCGAATGGAGAAGGGAATGTGATTCTTATATATGAAACCTTTCTTTTATTATGTTCTTAGAATAAAAGGGAGGGTAAACATTTGCCATGTGTGCACATGCATGTGCCAGGTCGCTCGACTTTGCATTTTGCATACTCGCGTTGTGTATGATTGCATGACACCGTTGTGCAATTTTTTGAAAGATATGTTGTGGCTGTTGGACAACAAGTTACATTGACAGCTATAACTAATGAATAATTGATGTCCATTAAACTGTCAACAGGACTGTTTGTTAATAATAATCATACAAAATGAACAACTACAAAGAACCCATATTTTGAAAATGTACTCTCTTTATAAAAGAGAAATGATTTCACACTCAATGCATGCCTTTCTTCACACTATTTCTTCCTTTCACATTTTTGCTCTCATAAAAAGCAACTCGAGATCTAGTTGTACATTGAACAAGCAAAACAAGTGTTCAATCTTTTCATATTATCTCTCCCTTTTTTAATGACTCTTTCTCCCTAATATAAAAAGTAATTTTGGTACTCTAAGATCTACAAATTTCTGTGCACTGAATAATCAAGATAAGTGTCCATCTTATATTTTCAAGTATTCTGAGGACAAATTTTCCTGGCGGACCTTATACACTCTAATTATTACCAGAATGGGTAACTATTGTTTTGAGATAGTGCATTGACACACCTATAAATAAAGGAAAATGTTTATATAGAGCTGGGGCTCTAAACAATCAAATTAGTGCCTACCTCGAAACTTTCAGAAGATGTTGTTTTGATGTTTAAATATCCTCAAATTGATCATCTTGATATCAAGATGCATGGGCATGAGAAAAAAATGGATTTGAAGTATTGGAAATAGTTCATCATGTAACACATTTTGGACCGTTAATTTTCAAGATTTTTGAGTTTTCATAAATATGCTCAATCTACTCTACTTTTTAAATTTTAAATTTTAGAATTAAAGATGAAAATATCTTGAAGGCTTTCACAAAGATTTCCAATATTGAAACCGCATTTCTCGACACTATTTGAAGGTGTACCTTACTTTGATTGTTTAGAACCTCAGCTCTATACAAACCTCACCCATGATAAAAAAGATCCCTCAAATCATTTGAGTACAAATTCAATTAATGCCCCCATTTCATCGACACTAAGGGCACGATTTGGTTCATGGGAAATATTTTCATGTTAAAAGATTCTCACATGTGGTTCGTTCTCGGAATATTTTCACATCAATTAACTGTCAATTAATGTGAAAAGATGTATTGGGATCAATTAAAATATTTTTATACTTAACCATATGAAAGAATTCATTCACGTTAAAATATTTCTCAAAATATATTTTTCATGTAAAACAATCAGACCCTAATTGGCAATCAAAAGAAGCATAGTGCATTCGTTTTTAAGCAAAAAAAAATTATATTCAGAGCTAGCGAAGCCAACTCTCTCGGATTTGACCTTTTATAAGGACGAATTAATAAGCTTCCCTAAGGGTTGGCAAGATCCCAGAGGCCCGGCCCTAAAAGTTTAAGACTAGATCCATGGCCTTGAGGGCTGGGCAAGGCTGATCCTGTGCCTGGGCCAAGATAGGGCTGGCTCAGTACAGCCCAGTCTTGCTCTTATGCTTTTTATTTTTTTATTTTATTTCCTCCTCCTCCCATTTGACCCAGCCCGCCTGTCCATGACCTGACCCCGCCTTTTGTAGGGACATATTAATAAGCTTCCCCGAGGGTTGGCAAGGTCGGAGAGGCCCGGCCCTAAAAAATTAGGACTTGATCCATGGCCATGAGGACTCGGCCGGGCTGAGCCTGGGCCAAGATAGGGCTGGTGCAGTTGAGCTCATACCTGCCCTTATGTTCTTTATCTTTTTATTTTATTTCTCCTTTTCCCATTTGACCCGGCCCGCCTGTCCGTGACCTGACCCGGCCTTGATAGGATTTGCGCCAAGGGCTTTTTGATCCTTGTTTTGATTAATTGTTCATTCCAATTCCTCAGGTTGCTTCAATTGAAAAAACCAGTAAACCATGCACTTCAGCGTGAGATTTAATATATAAAACGGCTCTTTGAAACCGTGTTGGTTCAGTGAGACAGACGCCCCAAGTAATGTGAAAAGCGGGGGAGGACGGACTTGAGTCTGGTTCAAGCGGCCTAACTCCACCTTTGCTTCCTTTTTCCGGTTCTTCCCCTCTTCCTTTCCATGCAAACATCAAAAGGCTTCCCCCTTCGTGCTTCATGCATTTTCTTCCGTGCCCTCGAGATTTGAGCTATGCGCAAAATGCCCATTAAAGAGCTTTAAATCATTCATGCTTATGCTGAAAAATGGCTGGAAGTAAGTTCTCTTTGTGATTAGAAGGCAAACAAAAAAACCCAAAAAAAAAGAGAAAATAACTTATATATCCTTTATATTTAATGTTATTATGGAATTACTGTGATGTTTCCATTTTTGCATGTATACCCGTTCTTTCAACTTCATAACATTTTCTTAAAAAAAGATAGAACTATTCTTTTCATTTTTCGAAAAACCAAAATGTTTAAACATTTCGATTTTCAAAAACCAAAAAAGTCGTGTTTTTTATTTTTCAATAACTGAAAATTGGATATTTTTGGTTTTTCAAAACCGAAAACTATCTTTCATTTTTCAATAACTTACTTGAAAATTTATTGGAAAGAGGTAGTTTTCAGTTTTTGAAAAATCGAAATTATCGTGTTTTTGGTTTTTCAAAAATAAAAAATTAGATACTTTTGGTTTTTCAAAAACCGAAACTATCTTTCATTTTCCAGTAACTTATTGGAAAATTTACTAGAAATAGACAGATTTTGGTTTTGTGATAAACCGAAAATGTGGTGTTTTCTATTGTTCAAAAATAAAAAATCTGTCTCTTTCTAGAAATTTTCTAGTAAGTTACTGGAAAATGAAAGATACTTTTCGATTTATCAAAACCAAAAATTGGATATTTTTGCTTTTTCAAAACTGAAAACTATCTTTTATTTTCCAGTAACTTACTAAAAAATTTGTTGGAAAGACAAATTTTTGGTTTTGGACAAAAAAGCTAATTTTCCGATTTTTCAAAAATCGAAAAGAGAAGTTCCGTCTTTTTTTAAAAAGAAAAATTTATGAAGTTAAAAAACGGGTATATATTCCATGCAAGGAAAAAGATTAGATTAGCCCTATCACACATCCCTTCAGCTGTGCCCAACGGTCATGATGACGAGCCTTTTTTTTTACAGTCACAATGCAGCATTTGTGAAGCCTACCTTTTGTGTTAAAAAACGAATTTTTTAATAAAGTGTCTGACAAAACAGGACACTGCATTGCATTCAAAATAAGATTTTTTAAATCGTTTGAATGAGAAATCGGGACGGTCGTCTGACACATCGGTCTGACGTCTGAGAAAACTGGACGGCCCTCTCTCTCTTTCTCTCCTCTCATATTGTTTTGCTCTCTCTCTCACCATTTCATAAAACTGTGTATTTGGGTAAAACTTCTCTGCCCCACTCGCTCTGCATCTTTGGCCATGGTCGCTGCTTCCCCTGCTTGATGCACTGCCACAAGAGCCCGTTCTTTCCACTCTTTCTCTCTCTAAAACGCAAATTTTTTTTCAAGTGAAACCCTAATCTCTGTCACACCATCTCTCCAATCTTTTTCTCTCTAAATCCTTGTGGGCTTTTGGGGGTCAACCCTCATCTCTCACACACCATCTCTCCACTCTTTCTCCTTCTAAATCCTTTTTTTAGGTAAAACCTCAACTATCTCTCTACTCTTTCTCTCTCTGAATTCCTGTTTTTTTTTGGGGTAAAAACTCATCCCAAAGCCTTGCTCTCTACGTGCTCGCGCGCGTCTCTTAAAGCCCAAAACAATACAGGGAAAGCCAAATCCTCAAGCATCAGGTATGACTTTTATTTCTCTTTTCCGATGAATTTTTTAGGTGCATCTTGATGAATTACCTTGAATTACAAAGTTTAAAATGGTCTGCTGATAAGGTTAAAGTGCATCTTTTTTCTCTTATATTTACGATCATAGTGCTTGAGATTGAGAACTAAAATTTTAAGGCAAAAGTTCCATCTCTTATAAAAAAGATACCACATGTTTGCCTCTGCTGTCTACCCATTTTTGAAAGCGTAATTTTGTTTACAAAAATATGGAACCACATCCTCAATTCATTTGAAAGGATCAAATTTCATGTAATTCTACGCAAATTTCTTCAATATTGGCGATGTTGGAAGAGTGCTAGAGCATATTATTAAACTAATAGAAGCCATGGCAAAATCAAAGCAAGGTCAATTTGGTGGTTAGGCACCAAAAAGGTTGGCCCGTGCGCACCAAAATGGAACACTTTCAAAACTAGCCGCGGTACCCGGCTTCTCGCTTTCCTTAGTGCGGCCGCGGTTAGCCCACGCCCACACCACCCATCCCCGCTCCTCGCGGAACCAAGCCCTGCCCCTACAACCTTACACTATAAATAAGCACCTCCCTCCTATCTATTTCCTTAGGAACTTTTTCTCTTTCAACAAAAAGTTCCTTTTCGACAACCTCAACATCAAGCCCTGATCTGCATCGCTCGATTACACGTACAAGTCCTTTTTGGGTCGGTTTCAGATATTCAAATTTTTAGAAATCTAAATAAAATTACTGAAAGGCCACACCATCGACAACAGGACAGTGATGAGGTCCGCACAGTGGCGTCGTCTCTTGTTTATGGCGGCAGCCATGGCCCTTGCTATTGCAGCAGCCGCAGCAGCGTCATCGCTTGAGCCAGCTATGACGGTCCATGAAACAACCCAACAACCACACGAAGAAGAAGATGAGCGCGAGGAGGAGATGTACACTATGCCAGAAATAGGAGGATTGCATGGTGGGAGCCGATTCCTAGCTGAATTCAATCCCCACAAGCGGTTGAAGTGCAAGCACAGTCCCGATATCTGCAAGGTGTGGGGCAGCCCCGGCCCAGACTGCTGCAAGAACAAGTGTGTGGACATGGCCACCAACAGCCACAATTGCGGACAGTGTGGCCACAAGTGCAAGTTCATTCAGGCCTGCTGCCGTGGGCAGTGTGTGGACCTCGCCTTCGACAAGCGCCACTGTGGTCGGTGCAACAATCGCTGCACCAAGAGTGTGCTCTGCATCTATGGACTCTGCAACTACGCCTGAATTTGGCATTCATTAGTTATTATGAATCTCTCCTTCTACGAGTGTGTATGGTTTTTCTTTTTTTTTTTTATTTATTTATAAATACTGAGAAGGGATTTATGGATTATGATGATTTATGGTTTAGGAAGAGGGAAACAGCAATAAGGTACGCCCTGTGAGATTTGGAGATCATGGGTTATGCTCCAGGTGTCCAATATGCATTAAACAGCATGATATTTATGGTTGATCCATCACTTATAAATATTATTGAATTATGAAATTTTTTTCGTGCTGTACCCCTCTGTCTCTCTGTGTTTGTATTTGCCGGCAAGTTCTTCCATTTAGGGTGTGAAAGAATGCAATGGGACTAATTGGGGTGAGAAAGCTCCCACAACTAATCACATGGGAGTTTTATGTGATAACAATATTTTTACGTGTACTAAACATGCCCCAAGTGTAAGCCATTGTCCCGAAGGAGGAGTCTTTCCATTAAGTTATCATTAGTGTTTGCGATATCGGTCAGTTCAACTCGGAACCAGCGAGCTAGATTGGAATCGGTCATTTGCCGGTTTTGCTTTTTGGTGATCCAGTCGAGTATTTTAAAACAAAATTTTAAAAAATTTATATAAAATCTCAAAAATGAAAGATTTGTTTGTAATGCATTTTTTAATTTTTTTTATCATTTTGGCAAGATTGAAAACTATTTTGACCATGAATATTTATTTTTACATTTTTTTCATTTTTTTAAATAATTTCAAAAAATATCCCTCAGGACAAATCGATTTTTTAAAATCTATTTTTTTTTTCACTTTTTTTCTATTTCATTTGGATGTTTTTTGTTTAATCATGTTTAAATATACATTTTTTTGTATGTTTTTGTATTTTTTAAATTTTTTTAACACTTTTTTAACCGGTGGGGACTTGCCTAAGCTCGTTGAATAGACGGGTTTACCAATTACTTTGGAACCTTAACTGGTTTCGGGGGCCGGTTCATAGAGGTTCTCACACTCCCATTTCTTTACAAAGCCCAGGCGATCACTATTATGCTACTTTTTATGAAATGAACAATGTTGTTATGGGGAGTCGATTTTGAGTATTATTTGAGATGGTTGGGTGTTTGTTCGCGATAATTTGGTGGTGTGATGGAGGCAGTTTTGTCCCTTGAACAATCTTGAGAAAGGCAACGTAGCTGTCAACTCAAGTCTTGAAATGGAATCTGGACCGTCCATTCCATGGTTGAGTTTTCTTATTACGATCCTGGACGTAGCTTTCCATGCAATCGTTAAAAGCTAAAAAGCTTATGCTACATCAAAATTTACGGCAGCTTCATGTTCTAAATGATGCAAAAAGCAAGTGAATCCCTTTTCTTCTAATTATTTTATTTCTCTTTTCTTCAACTTCATGGAATGAAATGCAAGCAATTAACTTCACAATAACTCATCAAACCATCATAAGGGTCAAATTTGAAGAAAATTTTGAATTTGATTAAAAAAACCACAAACGTAATGACTAACTATGATCATTAAGAAATGAGTAACGTGGGAGAACTTAAATTTTAAGTTTTGTTTTTTTTTAATTTTATTTTAAGTTAGGGTGGTCAAGAGTTAGGTTATCTTAAGTAAGCAACCAACACATAATTTTATCAAAAGTTATCATGAATCCCAAACATACAATATTTGTTTATGCTAGGGCAAGATATAGTTTTTAATAGAGCAGAAAAAAGTATGAGAATTCATGCAGCTGACCCTAATTAATGAGCAAATCAGTTGAGTTTTATATATTAGTATCTCTCTTACTCTCCTTTCAAAAGAAGTTGTCTTTGCAAAGCCGAAGAGGAGCAAAAAACAAGGCCAGGTCCAGCTGCGCACTTCGCAAAATCTAATAGCGGCAGCATCATTCAAAAAGCAAATTGAATAAGCACGAAACAAGAAATATTTTTCAGTTCAAAATTTCGATTTATTTGTGACCAAGTCCTATTTCTCACTGGGATTGTATATAATGATATCATTTATTTTTTTATATGGGTCACAATTATTACTAGTCATTGGATGTCAAATTGGATAGCTTGGGATGTGTGACAAAGTTCAATAAATGTTTTTTGAACTTTGAGTGCAGTCATGATACTCACAACCACCCGATTTGAAATCTCATGGGCAAGAGTGATTGTGGCTACTTGTATTAAAGGTAAAGAAAAACCTTTATATAAAGTTATAACCTTAAAATGTAGAATTAAGGTGCATCTTAAAAATCCATCGAAATATGCTCTTTTAATGTTAAAAAACTCTCTAATTGATCATCTCAAAATCGAGATGTATGAATATAGAAAAAAAAACATTTAAGTCCTAAAAATGGTGAATCTTGCAACACATTATTTAGGCCATCTATTTTCAAGATTTTCATATTTTTATATATCTACTTGATTTGAACCATTTTTTAAATCTAAAATTTTATAATTAAAAATAAAAATAGATTTTCAAGCCATCCTATGAATTTTTCATATCAAAAGTATATATTATGATGAAATTTGGAGGTGCGCATTAATTTGATTGTTTAAAGTTGCACCCTCGTGCAAACCATACCCAAAAGTAAATGTTCTTTGTGTTCTTTTCGTTTCTGAAAATATCTTTTTATTTCATATTTGCCCCTCAACATGAGTTTGGATGATCGAACTGGTGAAAATATTTATTCATTCCAAATTTTCCTTGAATACAATGAATAAGGAATTTGGCGACACTCCTAACATCGAATCAACCTTTTGGGACTAAAGGGCACTTAAGTGGCTTGCAGTGCCTTATGTCCAACCCTGTCGTTTCAAACCCCAAGAAATACATATTCCCAAAGGCATAACCACTCCAACTTTTTGTCTTTCTTCTTTCTTTTTTTCCCTTTTTTTTCTTTTGGTGTGTGTGCTAGGTGGGTGGGGAATGGATACATTGAAGGCAGTTTGAGGAGAGCAGAGAACAACATCGAACTGCCCAAACCCAATGTTTTTTCATTTTCGTACACAGTTCAATGTTAGCAATCTCAAACTGCCCAAATTTGGTTTGCTTATGCGGTTCGATTTTACCTACCTAAAACCATATTAAAAAAAAAAAGTCTGGGCAATTCAATCTTTCGATTATTGAACTACTTTCTAGAATTGAACTATGGTTCATTAGTCGCACACTCGAATCACATTACCATTGTTTTGAACATGACCGAGTTACTCGACCTCAGCCTATTGGCGAGGCCAAGTACTATGTGTTGGGCGTCCCATTCCATGAAGGAGGGACACCAATGGAAATTGCCTAACTAGAAAATGGCAATTTTGGAAAGTCAAAAAGTGATGACTTTGACTAAGTCATTATCCCATGAAAATGGGAAGTAGAGATATCATCTTATCTCTTAGTTGAAAAAAGATAGAGATAAACTACCTTTTTGGAGGTTATGAAATATTCTTTTCATAATTACCATTATCTCATTGACACATACAAAAGAAAAAACGTAGGAGGTTGTTGACTTCTCTAAAGTTATACTTCTATCTATCCACTATAAAAGGCCCTCACGTGGGTGGGTTGTATTTTCTGTTAGAAATATATTACAGGGAAATAGATTACTAGAAAATATGACATTTACACTGTTTGGGTCCATTTATTAGTAAGAAAATGAAAATAGATTACACACTATTTCCCCAAATATCGTGAAATCTATTACACGTGGGGAGGGCTAAGAAATCTTTTACGCACGTGAGGAGTAATGTACTGCGCGTGTCTTAAAACCATTAGACCGTTTTCCCTCTCTCCTGCGTACATCCTCTTCTCCCTCGCCTACCCACTCTCTCCTCTTCCTTGCTTCCTCAACCTTTTCTCTCTTCATCTCTCTCTTCATCAACCATTAGACCATTTTCCCTCTCTCCTGCGTACATCCTCTTCTCCCTCACCTACTCACTCTCTCCTCTTCCTTTGCTTCCTCAACCTTTCTCTCTCTTCGTCTCTCTCTTCATCAACCATTAGACCATTTTCCCTCTCTCTTACGTACATCCTCTTCTCCCTCGCGTACCCACTCTTTCCTCTTCCTTGTGTCCTCAACTTTTATCTCTCTTCATCTCTCTCTTCACCAGTCACTGCGTTTGTGGAAACCAAATGTTCTATGTATCTCTCTCCATCAGTTAGTGTGTTCATGAAAACCAAATGTTCTATGTTTGCCCTTCTGATATAGTCAGTCATCTTTACTCAGCCTCTCTCCTCTTTTACTCAGCCTCTCTTCTCTGTCTTTCTTCGAGCCTCCATTATCTTCCTTGTTTCGAGCTTCCCTTCTATGCTCTCTCTCTTCAAGCGATTCCCTTCTCTGCTCTCTCTACAAGCGAGCCGTGTGGATAAATTATAATGACTACTAAATATTTTGAAAAAATAAAAAAATGATTTTTTTGGGATTAGGGTCTAGATCGAGACCAAAAAAATAAAAAAGTGATAAATGTATTTTATTTAAAGTATAATGATTACTCTTTTGAAAAAAAAATGATTTTTTGGGATTAGGGTCTTGATACAGATAGAGAAGAGATAAATTACTTACACATGGGCTTCTTCCAATATCTCAAACTAATTTTTAAAATACTTTACCATTTCACAATAAAATACATTACCATTTACTATTTAAACTATGAATTAACGATATTTAAAGGTCGTGACTAAAATAGTTCACTTAATATTTTTGACTAATATTAATTCACACTATTAAGTTATTATTCTTTGAAGCATGGCAAGCATGGTATAGTCATGCTATATATACCTATGCATTTCAATATTAAATAGGAATGGAGGTCACAATCATTCGCAAATATTAGATGTCAAATTAGATGGCTTGAGGTGTATCATGAAGTGAATTTTTTTTTTAAAATTTTGTATTTATTCAATGACACTAGCACAACCACCCATTTTGAAATTTAAAGGACAAGAATGATTGTGCGTACAAAAGATAAATGGTCTCTTTGAATACAATTCCATATTATATCGCTATGTCTAGTAGGAGCAATGTAGGAGAAA